GAGCTGTGCCCTATTCTGGCCCCACAGGCAGGTCTAAATTGTACTCCAGTGATGAGTTTTACCAAAGTATCTAGACAAAGAGGGACCAACAACTGAGCACTTGTCTAGATTATATTCTGGAACTATAGAGATGAATAATACCAACAGTGAAATTTAGTTTCACTACTGATGATTTTGGCAGTAAGGTTCAGTAAATAGGTTTTTACAAAAAAAATTCCTGTGCTTTCCCTTCTTACAACATTAACCTTTCGATCTTCCTACAAAAATAAGTAGTGCTCTGAGAAGTAACAGCTGGGGGGGGCACAGTAAAACTTAATTTAATTTTAAAATAAACTGTAAAGGGGACACAAAGCTCCATGCACTCTGCAGAAAATTGACTTCAAATTTTCCACTGCTGTTCCTGGATTCTGTGGACTGTGATGGCAGTTCAGAAATACAGGAATAAAAGGGTTGCCTTAGGCTTTCAAGTTCCATCCTCTGCATTTGCAAGCATTTATCCAGAGTGTCCTAAAAATCATCTGCTCCAACAACTTACATGCCAGCTACAAAGTGCCATGTTATGAAAATAAAACAAAACCAACCACCCTCCCCACCCCTCCAAACTATCCTACAAGCTCTAGGTAAAACGCAGGTGGGACAAAAGCACCACTAATATCATGTTGCTACAATGGCAGATAAGTGATCTTGTTATTGTGTGCACAGAGGAGAGCGTCCTAGGAACAGGACCATGCTGCACACTACATAGACTTCATAGACATCAGGGCTGGAAGGGACCTCGGAAGATCATCGAGTCCAGCCCCCCGCCCAAAGGGCAGGAAGTCAGCTGGGGTCATAGGATCCCAGCAAGATAAGCATCCAGTTTCATCTTGAAGGTGTTCAATGAAGGCGCTTGAACCACCTCCGGTGGCAGGCTGTTCCAGACCTTGGGGGCTCGGACAGTAAAGAAGTTCTTCCTTATGTCCAGCCTGAAACGATCTTGAAGTAGTTTGTGACCATTCGACCTCGTCATCCCTTGGGGTGCTCTGGTGAACAAACGTTCCCCCAGATGCTGGTGGTCACCCCTGATAAACTTGTAGGTGGCCATCAGATCACCCCTGAGCCTGCGCTTTTTCAGGCTAAAGAGCCCCAGGGCTCTCAGCCTGTCATCATAGGGTCTGCTTCCCTGACCTCTGATCATGCGCATGGCTCTTCTCTGGACTCTCTCAAGCTTCTCCACATCCTTTTTGAATTGTGGAGCCCAAAACTGGACACAGTACTCCAGCTGCGGCCTCATCAAGGCCGAGTACAGGGGGAGAATGACGTCCCGGGATTTGCTTGAGAAGCATCTATGGATGCAAGCCAGCGTTTTGGTCGCTTTACTAGCCGCCGCATCGCATTGCAGGCTCATGTTCATCTTGTGGTCAATGATGACCCCCAAGTCTCTTTCTTCCATAGTGCTAGCCAACATAGCACTGCCGAGCCTATAAGGATGCTGCGGGTTTTTTTTCCCAAGGTGGAGAACCTTGCATTTATCGGCGTTGAACACCATCAGATTCTCGTCTGCCCACTTGCTGAGCCTGTCCAGGTCAGCCTGGATAACCTGCCTGTCTTCTGGTGTGGATGCTTTGCCCCAAAGTTTGGTGTCATCGGCGAACTTGGCCAGTCCGCTTCTGACTCCAGTGTCCACATCATTAATGAAGATGTTGAACAGTATGGGTCCAAGGACAGAGCCTTGGGGGACCCCACTGGTCACAGGACACCACGATGAGTGACTTCCATCGATTACTACCCTCTGGGTCCGACCCCAGAGCCAATTTTCCAGCCAGCGGATCGTGGAGGACCCAAGGCGACAATTGGCCAGTCGGAAAGCAATTCTCCCTTCCCAGCTTCTTGGCAACTGGTTTGGGAAATATTGCCAGAGTTGGAATCGGGAAGCAATCAGTTTGACCAGAAGGCCAAGACCCACCAATCACTAGCCACGGTTAAGCTTGCTCCTGAAACCTCTAAAGGGGAAAGCTAGCAGAAGCCCTGATGCATAGGATTGCCAGGCAGCTCCAGCACAGAGAAAGGACTTACCTCTTGATCCAACATGAGGAATACAAACACTTAAATGTGTATTCCAAAAATCAATTGTTATTGATCCCAGAATCCCCTTAGCATCTCATACCATCCTTCCCTGTAACTTGAGTTCAATCTAGAAGAAATGTACGTTCTTTGCTCTCACTACATTGTTTGAAAGACCAATCCTCTAGTTACTAGAAATCATCTACTTTCCAGTCTAAATTTATCAGAACCAGTTTATCACCATTCAGTATTTTATGCTGGTATTGCTCTTATCTTCAGTAGTTCTTCTCTTTTCCCTGATAATCACATGGCAAATATGAAAAGAAAGTGTATACCTCTCAAATATCATTTTGCTGTGTTAAACAAACT